ACACACACACACACACACACACACACACACAATCACACATGGACAAATAACACACAATCACACATATGCTTTCACACATGGTTTTTTCTCTATCTGAACACCAACCCCCTCCCTCTCTCATACAACACATAAGGGTGGGAAACACATTCATTTGACCCAGACCACCAATGGGACCGCAGTCAGCTCTGACTGACAACCACATCACAGCAGATTAACCAGTCATATTGCAATGTTAGCCTGTCAGGGAGCTGACAGCTCTGATTTCCATAAAGGAAGCAACACATTGATTGTGTATGCGTGTGTCTGTGAGAGCCGAAGTGATCCAGCACAAAACCCTAACATGTGCACTCGGTTGCAGTACCCAGGGGCCCCTCTTTCACACATGCACGCATTTGTGCATGCATACGTGCAGACACATTCCTGCTCCCTCAGAACAGGAAAGAGCCCTGAAAGCACTAGAGACCCAGGGTTGACCAGCATCGCCATCTCCACCCACCTCTCCTACCAGCATTACATCAGAATTGATTGACCCTTGCACTGAGTTGTGATTGGGAGCTGCAGTATGCAGGGGATTGACAGCTGGGAACTAGCTGTTATTTCAGGTGGTTTTCTCTTTTTCTCTCACTTTTTTTTCTGCAGGCCAATCCCGCTTTATCTCCATGATAGTTCATGGTTCTTCTTTAGCAACGTAATGACACTGCAGGGTGCATGGTACCAATGCTACATGCACAAGATCTTGTGTAATTAGCACCATAGATCAGTGCTTATGAGCAGCCTTGAAAACTGTAACTGTATATTTTACTGCTAATCTTACACTCAAGCATGTATACAGAAAGAAACAGATAGAGGGCACAGAAAGACAGACAGACAGAGACACATAGTCAGTGAGTGCTCTGATAGGCTCGGTTGGGGAAATGGGTGCAGATGAACATTGGTCCCCAACGAGGCGAGCTAACTGGGGGAAATTAGGTCAGTGTGTTCCCTCTGACTCCACAGCAAGAACGAGCGTATGTGCGTGTGTTTTGCATCAGTGTACCTACACTGCCATACTGCACCACTATAGTAACATAGTGCAGGTCTGTGCTTGTTTGTGTGTGTGTTTGTTCTACAGACCGCATGTTGGCATGTGAGTGAATGCGCAGCCAATGGTTGGGCCTGAGTCCAGTACAGGTGATAATACTTTCCAATTACTTCTGCAGCTTTAACTCAGACTTAATGGTGTTGTTAACTAGCTATGAATCTGGATGCCGAAACTGTATTTATTTTGACTCATCACTCATCTAATTGAAACAGAAAACTAGGATGTAACTAATCATAACATCATAATCAGTAACAAAATAGTTCTGAATATGAAACAAATGTATAAAGGTTAAGTGACATTTATCCCCAAATGGCCACTGTCTTTTGGAGTAAAAGCTTTGGGGACAGATGGAATCAGTTCTACAGTCATTTGGCCTCCGGAGAATGAATGTGCTCTTCTCTTCTACCTCCTACACAGCTTTGTCTTTACTAGTCTCTGTTACTCTCTTCATGTCTCCTGATCAGGACAAGTCACACATACTATAATTGATATGAGATTAAGGGGGTATATTTCAATGTAATTAGAATCTTGATAATTGGACTAATTAGATCTAATTGCTATTTGAGAATGACTTTGATTAAAACAGGTTTCTCTCCTCAAAAGGAGAGGAAAAAAAATACTTAAGTGAAATTGACGCAACACAATGCTAAGGCTAATTGACAATAATCATGGATGCATGAAAAACAAAAACAGTATGTGAGTATATGATGAGCTGTTTTCCTAAAAACAGCTATAGATAATTTGTTAGGATGTAGGTGATTTTTTTTACTGTTAACTTTTGTTACTTATTACTGTGCTTAGTGTAAAGTAACCTCTTTAGTATAAAATTAATTCAGACTGAGTGTGTTTACCTTTGCTAGAAGTTGTTGCCACACCATCCGAAAGCATTAAATTGGCCCTATCAAATTACAACAGCCGTATTGAATCAAGTGCTTTGATTTTGCTCACTGCTATTCTGTGAGAAAAAAAGGTGATTAAGATTACACAGACATCAAATAAGCTGGAAGGTCGGCAAGAGTCTTTCATGCATGTTCAAACAGACAGCAGCAGCAAAGGAACGCTACAAAAAAGAAGAAGAATCATTCCTGGCTTGTTTCCATGGTCTTTTTCATTGAACTGACTCACAGTTGTCAATACTTGCAGTAAAAGGTACGTTGTGTTGTCTTTGAAATTGTAATTTATGGTTTACAGTTATTATGATACCATATACCATGTACTCTTTTTCTTTCTTTCTTAGGGGGGTAAATGTTCTTTTGAGGCTATCAACAAGAACAATGAAGTGAAAATTAAATACAAATTAAATAAAATAAAAAACAGAGTCAACTGGCCCTGTCAAAATAAAAAACCTTAAATATTAAGTATTATTTACAAATAAAATCCTGTGTATTCGAAACTCCTGAACAATACTTTAAACACTACAAGAAGTAATTTTTTTTTCATTATTACTCCTGGTTTGAATAACTGACACAATCATCTTTTCGTTTTTGGAAAATAGAAGTTATTGGTGATACATATATGATTATGCATTGCACTAACTTTTGTGCGATTGACATCTCCATTATAAATCAGTTGTGGCCATAGCTCAAACAATATTATTTTATTTTTAGACAACTAAGTTCTTAACATTAAGTTGTCACACACTTGGACATCATGTCTGCTGCCACAGCGTGTAATGTATGCACTGTATGGAGAGTAACATTTATTGTTTTTATGAGTACATAATGTGGAGCTCTATACACAAGCCTACCTCTTTTCAATGCATTCCTGTGCATTTATTTTTCTTGGTGAATAAAGTGCACCTAACTGTGACATGCTGGAAATGAATGCATTGTGTTAAAGTTTTCGTTTGATTCTCTGACTGTCCTAACTGAATCTTATGGTTTCTATGTGTTTGCTTAATAATGCATGAGCATCTGATATTGCACATTTGCATCGGTCTATAAAAATCTGAGTGAGCTCAGTCTCTTATGGCTCAATAGATGGCAGTAATATCCCCCAATCACTGCAGTATGAATAGTCATCCCACAGAAAGTACTTGTATACACAGACTCATGTGCGCACACATTATGCACACACACAGTCAGGACATGATCCCCACATAAACACAAACACACATGCAGGGTTGCATGGAAACACACACCCAGGGATACAAACACAACTCTGAAAATGCCAGAAGAGGAGATGGAGATGACATCAATGACTGCAAACAATAAAAAAAAATGTAAACAATCCCCTTTGTCTGCATCTCTGTCAGTCCTCAGGTAATGTAGAGAAGCCCAGAATAAGTCAAAAAGCATAGCGGGATAGACGGTGAGGGTATGACTTCAAGACTGTGTCTTTAACTTAATTGTGAAAGCCAAAAAGGGCACTGTATCTTTCAAATTATTTTTTCTGATTAGGTGAGGGTAAAAAAACAGCCTATAACTCAGAGATACTGTTATGTGTGCACTTGTAAAGATTAAATCAATAGCAGCGGCACCTTCAATGGTCATCAGGGAAGAGCCAGGGCTCCAACTCAATACAATCCTTAGCCATAACTGACAGAATGTCTCATCTCACAGAACCCGGCAACTGCTCAGAGGTAAAAAGCAGCACTATGAATAATCGTGAAAACCATTTAATTGTGTCTCTTTCTGCGCAGCCTGCATAGGTTTTGTGTTCGTTTTGTATTCACTCTCCCTCAAGATAGTCCCTGTGTCGTCATTTATTGGCAGGATACGCTGGTAATCATTTGAATTCCCCAAGTATGTTCAGAAGATGTCAGGGAGTAGTCTCTGATCTTGTTTAATATGTGACCAGCAGCTATAAATTACCAACTCCCAGAAATGAGGAAACATGGGTTCTTTTAAGTCTTCAGGGAGACCTCTCTTTCTGTCTGTCTCACACACATAGACTCCCTCTCTCTATTCCCCAGCCCCCCACCCCACACACACACACACACCCGCCCCAAGTGTAGTATTGTGTGTGGCAATCCCCTCCCCTTCATTTAGTTGATGTGCAAATAAAAACAAATACCTGTGACTTTTTTCATTGAAATAAGCAATTTTGCTCTCAGCCTATTTTGATGCTCCACGGGGCAGACAGTGCTGCACCTTGCTGCTTTTAACAAGTTTGTTGGGCAAATATTTGGAATTCTGTGCTTTCTGCTTTGATTATATTTCATACATCCCCGTTTTCTCATTAAAATCAAATGCTGTAAGCCATTATAAAGAGTTTTTTTTATTTTTTTTTAACATACCTCCTTTGTTGCATTTTGTTGGTCAGAGTAGTAAGAAACAGCTAAACCACAGTGACACACTGGGTTAAGCAATGTTTGGGTTGGCATCATATGCAATATTGTTATAAACCAAATTAGTTTGAATAAGACTGATTATTTTCTCTTAAAACTGTAAACTACAAAATGAAAATTTAACTTAGAATTCTCTTTTTTTTATCTGGACATTTGAATCAGATTTAATTCTAATGCAGATCAAGGGACAAAAAGGAGGCAGTATTTAGAATGCAATATAGAAAATCTTTTGATTTTGTTTGAAAGAATTTACCTTCTTTCTCACATTTTTACAAAGCGTGCTTTCCTGTTTTCCAGGACAGATTAAGCCATGAGGTTTTGGAAACTTTGCTTCTGACTTTTTGTATTTTAACAAATTAACACTATGCTATTTAAGATTAAATTCATGTCAGGTGCAAACTCAGGATTTCCCCTGAAGACATTGTGACTACTGTATCTACATCTGTACGCGACGTGTTCTAGGCACATTTTGTTGTCAGCATCTGTCTGGTTGAGGCCATGCACATCACTGTCTGCTGTCTGTGACGCACAGTAACCAGTTGTCACCCATAGTTTTTCTTTTCTTTTTTTTTTTTTTTCCACGTCTGAATTTTGCAAGGTTGAGGCAGGATAATGAGTGGTGAGACTTACTGTAGGGAAAATGTATACTCCTCCAGCTCCTCCGTGGAGAGGTTCTCCATTGAAGGCTGCATCTTCTGTTTGTCTGCCTGCCGAGGCAGTGCGCTGCTGCTGCTCATGCTGAGGCCGCAGCTATTTGTCTTCTTGATTGGCTTCTTCTGTGAGGAGCAGAAATCGGGGAGATCACATACGGATGTCATTTGTAATCAAAGCAGGAAACAGGCCTCTGAATTTATCTTGGGGGATGCACACGGTGACAGTGACAGTGTGCGTGGCACTTTGGAGCCTCTCCTATATCTCAACCGCGCCTCAATTGACAAGAGACAAGAATGATGGTAAAATCGCATACGGCATGCCATCGTTCAAGCTGAGTTCGTTTGGGAAATGTGTGTACAGTGACGGTGGTGTTGAATATGTGATATTTGAGCAGCTGGCACAGGTTTTTTTTCCACAGAAGTCATTTACTGTCATCGTTATAAACACAGTCAAATGGAGTTAGGAAGTGGGGTTTTAAATATTTCACCAAGGTACTTGGGAGCAGATATTATTTGTTAAGCCGCCAACATGTTAAAGGCTTGCATTCCCTGGCCCTGTCAGTCTTGCCTGTGTTGCCCTTGGGTGGGCTTAGTGCCTTTCTGCTTGAAGTTGTGAAATACTCGCTGATGTATGTTAATGAGATCCACAGTTGGAATTAGCAGTCTCTCTCTTTCTTTGAGCCCTGTCTCACTCTACCTCTCTCCATTTCCTTTTTTTTTTCATCTTTTCCTCTCTTCCATCCTTCTCATTCTTTCTCTGTCTCTCCCTCTGAGATAAACTAGGCACAAGAAGTAGTAAATGGGAAGAGCTCCATAAAGGCTCCATCCATTTTCATAGGGCAATCTTTGCCAAAGCAAACTTGGATTCCAGAGTGATGATCACAATAAAAAGGTGGAAAGGAGAGGGAAAGAAAGCAGAGAGAAAAAAAAATGCCTGAGATATATAAACCACAATGTTCTCCGGTGTCTCCCGACAATAAATTTAATGCAATACCTTAAGAGCAGATTCCGTATATAGCTGGATTCCTGCCCTCTGGGCAAAGTGGTCGCCTGGAGAAAATTCATTTTAATTAGGCCTGCACTGCAGGTTGAAGGGTTGAAATCTGATCCCTAGCACTCCCAGGCTGGGGCAGGTTGAAGATCACTCCACTTAATCATTAGACAACTGGGTTCCACACTACGACATTTGACAGAGTTAGCAAGGTTTAAAAGATAGGGCCAAGAGGAGAAGAAAAAAAAGAGCTCTCTACAGAGGCTGCAGAGAAATAAAACCTCATATCAACAAACTCATTTATTTAACAGGTCACCATTGATTAATGGTGGCCTGAAGAGCCTCTTGTACATCAGAATAAGGAGGTTAGTAAGAAGACTTGGAGGGACAGAGGAGAAAGGCAGGAAGGGAGGATGTGTGTATGTGTGTGAGAGACAGAGACCTGATGTTCATAGGCTTCTAAATACCTCAACAAAAACATCACAACAACAAAAGGCCACAGCAGAGGCACAATGGCAGGGGCGGACCGGGAGGCTGCAATGCCAGATCAGCACACAGAGTAATTTTGCAATTACCACTTCAAAGTATGGCAGGTAACATGCTGGCTTTGATTAATTTAGCTTAAGTCCTCTGTAGCACAGGAAGAGGCGTACTTAGAGTGACTTGGAGAAAAAAAGGGAGGCCTGCTGGCATTGCTGATTTCACAGAATTTGAGCTGCTTTGGCTTGACAAGCAGATCAAAACTGGCTTTGAAGGCTGAAAAATACCTGTTAGTGTGAAATGTATTTTGACAAATCTTAGATAATAAGCCAGGGAGGTGTGTGGGGCGGAAAGGGAAGGCAAGGGAAAGCGTTATTTCAAGGGTGGGAACACTTACCCTTGAATCAGAGTGTTACCTTGTGGTGAATCCCACCCTCTGCTTTCACCCTGCATGGATCACCCTTTTCTCCAGTGTTTCCAGAAATGGCTCCTGAGGAGGAATTCTTCCCTGCATCCCAAAAAAGAGAAGTGATGTGCAGTGAGTGTGAAAAACAAGGGAAGGTTTGTGTTTTGTTTTCATTCAAAATCCCATCTAGTAATCATAGTGAGGATCAGGGGTGGCTGAATAATATTTATATCACAAAGTCGAAATGATTACTAGTGTACAGCAAGAGTACTGATAAAATATCTACAAAAAATTAATGGAAATAAATCATCATTCTGAATTGTGAAAATAATTTAATTCACCTCACTAAAAGTCAAAAGGTTTACATTTAGCTATGCAAAATGAATTCAAAATTGAGCTTAAATAAGTGAAAAGTCCACATTTGTAAATACACTTAAAAAACAAAGCAATTCAAGCAGAATAACTGTTAAATAACACGTTGTTCGCAGTGTACCATGAAATCAAATAAAATTCTCTTTGCATTTCTGAACACACTGCAAGTGTTGCTTTTGTCTTGTTCTTCTACTCTGAGGCAGGTAGTGAAGATGTTTTGGTGTACTATCTGGAGACTTGCAAAAAGCAACAAAGGCTCATTTTTGTCTTTGTACAGAGAGAAGTAGGAGTGTTAACTTATAGAGCTCCCACTGCACAGTCATCTCTGTCTCCAACAATCTCAGAGCTGAACTTTTTCAGCCCCAACAACAACCTAATGTATGCAATAAGAAATGATGAAAAAGCGAAAATTGAATTTGGTTGTAATACATTTTCCCATTCTTCTTTGCTTTGGAAGTTTTTTTCTTCATCCTCACCCTCTTTTTCTTTTTTCTCTGTATCTGTCTCACTCACTCACTCCTATTTTTTTTTATTTTGCTGTAATTTAAATGGTAAGCCGCCAGATGTGTGTCTCATGCTTGAAGAGTCGGAGATCTGCATTATTTAGCATATTAACATTCGCAGAATTTAAAAAAGGGTTCCTGCGTTGCCTGGAGGTTGTAATTAAGTAAACCTTAGCTTGATACATGTAAAAATCTCACTGTGTGAAACTTTGTTTCCCCCTGTGGAACAAGTCACATCTATATGATACATATGGGAACCTGTGCGATGATATAATTTTTCTCTTGCTGTGGGATTAGATACATTAGTAATAATAATTTAAATATAGGCAACACATCAGAAATCATTCTGCCAGTTAAAATGTTCTTAAATGGCAGAAAGACTCCTCATTACTATTTTAAGATGCTGAAATCAGATTTCAACCTAACACATATGTAGTTTTTAAACACCTCCTCTTTGCTCAAAAACATTTTGAGTAGAGTGTTTGTTCTATTCTCAGTATAAAATAATTTAAATTAATAAATTTTCTTGACATTACATAATTGTAAACTCAATTTTATGTCAGTGTTAAGATTCCAATAATCTCACCTCAGTCAAGTAGATTCAGGCTAGATAGTTTTCACACACTCTGAAGGTGCTTCAAAAAAACAAAAAATGTACTTATAAGGCAAAAGGAGTTATATCATGAAAACTATATCACGAGGCATGAAATCAATCAATATTTGTTTCAGATATACAAAATGTGAGATCTTGGTCAGTTTTGGAGTTTTGTATTCATCCAGAAATAAGATTTTGCCTATTACTGCATTACTAACTTTTAAAACATCTGAAATCAACCTTTTTTCATTCAAGTTGTAGTTTATAGTTTTAATAGTTTATTGCTTTAATTCTAGTTAGAAGGGCACTTATACTATATTGTCATGTTTTATATTATATACAATATTACATTTCAGCACATTTCTATGCAGACAGTCTGAGACAGAGCAAAGCAACCCCTTGCCTGCTGCCTTTTCTCACATACACACACACACACACACACACACACACACACACACACACACACACAGAGACATACACACACATACATCTCAGCCTATATTAGCAACAACAACAGCAACCATGAACTAACATAGACCCACATGGATTAGGATGTTTTTTTAGACTGTACAGACATACACACACACACCCACACATACACACACACACACGCTCATTACACCCAGCCCCACTTGCTAATGGGCAGGCCTCTGTGGAACCAGAATGAGCACAGAGGCAGCATCGACAGCTTCGACAGCTTCGACAGCTTCGACAGCTAAGGGCTACGTCCATGAACTAAGAGTGCTGGAGCTGCCACAACTCCAGCCTCTCCGGGCACTCAAGGCCAACAACAAACTCCTTGTTATCCCCTGTGCTCTGAGCTGTGTTAAGATCAGGACACACACACATACTCATCCAGTGCATACACTGGACTGACACACCCACACACAGAAAGGCATACAAACAAAAATATTAATATTGCATACATGTACATGTGAAAGTGTGTGTGGAGTGTACCTTACAAATGCATAACTCAACAGCTCCACACAAAGTGAGTGTGGAGTGTACCTCACAAATGCATAACTCAACAGCTCCACACACATCTTTTTCTCCTGCTTACTCACAAAAAACAGGCCAAGGAAGGAGAAAAGCCTGAAGGCTGTTGAGATCCCATCACTGTGTTACTGGTGAGATGCAACCAGGCTGAGATGGCGGTTCTTGCTCACCTAGGCCTCTAATTGCCTGATGACTGGTCCAAAGTTACAGAGGGATCGAAGGTCAGTGACTCTTGGATTACCCCTGAGTCCACATCAGGATCTTGTGTTACAGTTTCAATGATACAGTCATCATGTTCACTGAACCACACTGGTTGCACTTTTATAATCACACAAAAACTGGAAATTATCAGTGCATTTTGGAAGCAAGAAACTGTCACTTTTGGGCATATTTGTCCCATATGCTCCATATTCATCCTCCATGTGTGGTCCTTTTGCCTTGTTTATTACTCCCACTGTGAGGGTTCACATATGCATCTCTGCAAACAGGCTTCAAAGGTTGAATCCATCCAGTCAGAATCCAGACATTGTTGAATTAATTGGTGAGTGCGACTGATTGAGAGGGTATGATGTAACATTGTGGTTTGAAACTCTTGATGACTGGGACCGGCCTGGAGGGGATCACATCCTGAAAGTGCAGGGCACCGCTCCAAAGAAGACATTAGATGAGGAATCCTCGAAATCACCATCTGTGCTCAAGGGGATGGATGTTACCATGTATTTGTGAAAAAAATAAATAAACAAAAAAAGTAGAGAATTGAAGCAGTGATACAGTATGGCAGAATCATCTGCATGCTCACAGTGATCCACAAAATGCAATCATGAAACAAGATGCTAATCTAATTAGTCATTTGGGTTCAAACAAACCCAATGTAACTGGATCATTTAGTTAATGTGAAAGGTCACTTAACCCAGCATGCCTCTAGCTAATCTCCATGTAAAAAAATCCAAATACACTGCAATATGCTTGGACGATTCAACTCAGGTAATTATTATCTTCCAACACACAACATCAATGCCCACACAACAGCACATACAGTAATCTTCAGATTTTTTTTATCAAAACCTGTCAGTTACTATCTTGGAGTGCGATGTCAGGTTTTATTCTGTAATAGATACCTCACCACGCTCTGCAATTTTTCAATGGGGATTAATTAATTTAAGGCCTCAGGAATACAAACTTCCAGTCTTACTGTCAAGCTCTGCTGTATGTACGTTATCGCAATGACAAGTGGTCTCCATATACTTGTCCTGATTCTGAGACAAATGGGTAATGACAAAAATCCTGCCGTCACATGAACAGAGAAAGCGATCTCCACACAGCGCACATTAGAAACAGAAGGGCATGAAATGGAAAGGAAATGCCTGAAACCCTCAGACTTGACGGAGGACTGAGGAACAGGGGATAATTTGTTCTTCTTTTCCTCGCTGAATTGGATTTCCATTTTTGGCAAGGTTAAAGTTGTCTGTCCAATTGCTCCCTTCAACCTTCTCATAATCTCCTCATCGAAACACCGTGAATCATTCCAGAGGTAATGCAACAAGAATGGATCTGTATGCAAATGATCCAGAAACGTCAGGTTGTCTTAGGGAACGGTGTGGATGAGGTGTTGTGCAGGACACCTTTTGATCCATTAGTTCACTTCGGATCTGGTTCACTTCTCAAGCAACCTCTTCACCTGGCTGCATGTGTGTATGCAGTATGCAGTCGTGTGTGTTAAAGAAACCTGGTACTTTTTGCCTTGTCTGCCAGAACATAAATCTCCCATAGTGAGTGACTCCCTCCCTCGTACTCTTTCTCTCTGGAAAGGCAGTCAGTTTGTTGGGGACACTTCCCTTGTGGGCGTTAGGATCTCTGTGGGGGGTCACAGGTCAGCCGGCGGAGGAAGCGACAAGCTGTGAAATGTAAAAGACCAATTTCTTCCACATGTTTCAGTGCTGGGAGAACACTGCCAAGCTGTCAGCCGGCATCATGTTTAAAATGGGCCAGGGTGCTACCCAGCAGACCTGTCACAACTCATTTGTAATTAAAAAGCCTGTGTGATGTTTAAAGCAGAGCACCCCAGAAACTTTTGAGGACTGTTAAATAAAGATGAGCTGTGCATGCCAAAAAAAGAAAAGGAAAAAAAGGGGGATGTATTAATAACAAAGACGCTAGCCAGTCGTCTTTGTAGTAGATCAATACCAAATGAGTCTGTATTTGATTTCTGGCCATGACCAAGATGCTGGATGACATGAAACTAGTTGGGAGATAAAAAAAGTGTGTTTTTAAAACAAGTAAGTAGATACAAAAACTATTAACATAAGTCATTAACCACTTCTAGATGTGGTTACAATTGTTGTGTGACCTTCCCTGGACCCAGATAAGCAGGACAACAACATCAGAATCAGTGATCTGCGCATTTGATGATTTGATGATTACGCAGAATCATATTGGAGCTTATCCCAGCATGCACTGAAAAAAGCAAAAGAACACCAGTCAATCACAGGGCTAAGACACTGTAATATAATCAACAACTGGGAATGTTAAGTCTCAAATCAACCTAACCTATGTCTTCGAACTGGAAACTGGAAAATCACATGCAGGGGAAACATGCAAGCTCCACACAGAAAGACCACTTTTACTGTGAGGAAACACTAACCACTAACCCACTGTGTAATCAACACAGTGGTTCATTTCCTATTTCAAATCAGTTCATCATCTGTTCCATGGTATGAAATAAAGGTAATCAGATTATATTACAAAACCACTAGAGGAGAGATACCAAAAACTGCTCTATATGAATAACTTAGAAGTCCACACATTTCTTTAATGTAACATGTACTATCTAGCAATGCAATGTCTACCAAGGTAAAAAACAACAACAAAAAACAAAATAAATAAATAAATAATAATAACAATAATAATCAGTATTCCATTACTGTGCAGTTAATCAGTGTATCAAAGCATCACATATAATGCCAAAATCATGCAACAATTTGTGTCCCTTTTGTCAAAATATATTCCGTTTTGCTTCATTAGGCACTATATGAATGAAACTGCATTGCCCTGTATGTATGTAAGGCACACTGAGACTGCCAATATTTCTCATATGTATTTATTTTACATCTTAACATCTAACAGTCAAGTTCAGCTGAGTTTAAACGTGTCAGCCAGAGTACCCACTGTCCATTCACACAATATTTTAAATAGCTTGATAACGGTATTATGAGTACTGTTATGTGGTACAGCTAATTTTGGCCAATACATATTTTCAGTACAACAATAAAAGAAAAAATATACTTAAAATTCAAAATGGTGTCATTTTATTAGCTTAGATAAAGCCGTCCATGTCAATACCAAAGAGGGTTTGTTTACATATCGAAGTGGAGGTGTATTATCAAAAAGCTTTATCTAAATGTGTTACAAGTCTATCAGCTGGGTCTATCAGTGTCTGTGCTTGCTGCTCAAATACTGGATTTCCCTGAATCAACACTAATGCTACAGTATATCTGTTAGGTTTTTGCATAAAATCCAACTGAGAAAACACCTTTTGTTTGATGTAACCACTGTCTGTCAAGCTTAGTCTACTGTCTCTACCCAACCCTACCCTCAAGCACATTCACCTCAGCAGAGAACTGCTCTAAGTGACGCCTGCCACTCTTCCCATCCCAATGCTGGTGACATTAGGGTGACATTTTCTCCCCACTGTGGCATAGTTGGGGGTTTTAACATTGGACCCCTACCTGGCAGAGATGAGGAAGAGCAAGCAGAATCAGCTGACAGGTGGAGAGGAGACCCCCGGTGACAATATACCACAGCGGGCTCTCCTGCTTTGCTGCTGGGGCCTGCATGTGGCTGCCGTTGGTGGTATAACTGGGGCTGGGGATGAATGGGCTGCACACAGAGCTGGGACGGTGATAGGGGCTGGGGCTGGAGTGGCAGATGGCTCTGGGGGTGGTCATGATTGACCTCAGGTTGGGGCATGACTGGGGGGTTAGCAGGGGGTATCGATACAGTGAGGCCACACTGTGGACCCGTAGATGTTTCAGACGGGAGCCTCTTAACCTGAAACACAACAAACATGGAGGTAGGTTTGCCTGCATGTGCTTCAGGTCTACATATGGGATCAGTGAACATTAATACATCCTCTTCAAGTTTATGTCATTAGTAGTTATGTTCATATAATTCCATTGCATCACCATAGTTTGTGGGAAAACAGCATGTGTGCGTATTTACACTGCAGGTGTTAGTGATCAAACTGCAGATATAGCTTACTATAAGTAGTTGTCATAGTGTGTCATAATGGCCTAAAATAATTCAATTAAGACCATAAATGTGGCTAATATGAATATTGTACATGCTATGTTCAAAAATATGGCTGCAGAAATCAAAGCAATTGTAGACAACTGTAATGATAATGCAGTAATACAAACAACATGTCAAAGTAAAAGGGACAAATGAAGAGACAAACCCGAGACAGAGAGCTTTACTCTGGTATTTAATTCAAATAATATGTTTACTAATCTGATCAATGCAGCAGCTCACATGCATCCAGAACTGCTGGGTGAAGATGTGGTTCTTGTTTGCCCTCTGGGGCCAAATTCCAAATTCTCTATAAAAGCTTTGTATCACTGAAAATCCAAAACGCAAACCCCCATCTGTCCAGATCAACCATGTTGTCTCCCAAATACGGGGGAGGGTCAGATTGGGGGTAAAGATGCACATGCAAAAGAGGCAGACAAACACATATATGAATATAGTTTAACATTCAGAACTAGTCAGAACCATAACCTAAACACACACCTGGAAGTACATGTTGCACAGCCAGTGGTCGAGATCAGAGGAGATGAGGCCTTCAATTTTTTTAAACTGGTCCATTTGTGTGTTGGGCTCCCCCCTGAGAAGAGGGATTTTGAACCTGGTTTGATGACACATAACCAGTGGTAGTCACTGTACAACAAGATGCATGATGAGCAAAATGTTCATGAATATTCAGTTTGGATACTTTATTTTTATAAATTATATTATTATATAAATATTTTTATATTTAAATTATTTAATCTGATGATTAATTATAATTTCATTTGCTGTATTTTGCCAGTAATCATAGTGATTATATGACCTGAAATACTCATAGATACTTTTATAAATACAAAGTCCTTGAGGTGCAACAGCTAACTTTGATCTGCAAATGACCCACCTGCCCTGGACCAGACTGAAGCTTGGGCCACAAACAGGAAATGCCCCCCAAGCCACTACAGAGTTGATGTGGCTGCTGTTTCCTCGTAGTGCAATGAGTTGAAATATCAGGACCATGGAGGGGACAACCTCACAGGCTGCAGGTAAGATCTGCAGAAACATAGAAAGGCACAAGTCACTCACAGTTCCACTCAGGTGAACACATGCCTGCAGGCACATGATGAGTAAGCGCGCATAGACTTGCTCACAACCACGAAGCCAATGACAAACAGAAACACAGAGGGTAACTAACAGGACAGGAGCCCTCAGGGAGCCACTTAATCTACATCCTAGACTTGAATCCTCCTTTAACTTATTTCCATGTTCTTTTTAGAGCTTTCTTAACTGCCATTCTTACCGGTCCAACTCAACAAATTGCCTAAAAGGAGATGTTGGAGTGATAAAGACTGTCAGCAACAAACAGAGGGTGGAGGAGAACTTGAGATTGCCGTTGTAGGCTATGGATTTACAGTTAGTGAATTTGTGATACAGCGAAGCCATCATCAATCAAACTGATGATATTAAAGGTAACTTGCATGAAGCAAAATGTATTAGTGCTTTAGCAGTCAAAGGCAAACATTCGTATTTGCTCAGAGAATGGTGGGTTTGCTTAAAAATGAACTGACAGTGAGGTGTGTGCCACTCCATCCATCACTGGGTGGAAATATTTTATCCCTTTATTAGTTGTAATGGAAAAAGCAGAGGACTTGTTTTAACACATAAATCATGCGTATCCCTCCCACCTTCATGCTGCTGTTGGTATGCATGATCGGCAGTACTGTATGACTCAGGACACAAATTTATGGAATAATAACACAGATTATGAATATTGAGGATATTCTATATTATTAATTTACTGTAAGAAATACAACCTGCATAAATAGTCATTTATGTGCTTGTACTGCATGCATATGTTCGCATGTGGGAAGTGAGGTTTTACTGTGAGGGTTGTGAGACTGGATTATGTGCATCAGAGGGCTATGTCTGCTGGTTGGAGGAGCCTCTAAAATAACTAGAAATATTCTGTTTAAAAATATATATATATATTTATTTATAAAAAAGAGTGCAAGTGACCACAAAAGGGGTGTGGAAAAAATCATTATAATCATTGTGAAAGATGACTAAATGCATTGTCAAATGTCTAACTCATCTTGCTCAGTTAACAAAACATAGGACAAAAGATTAAAGAGGGACAGAATACAAGAGTAAATCATGGATCCCAAAACATACTTACAAGAACTTTTCATCATTTTTCTTTTAAATTAAAATTTTGAATGTTACACATCTGTGCATTTGGTGTGAATACTGCACAAAGACTGTAGGCTCAACTCTTTTCAAGTACCCCCCCTTGCCAGCATATCCAAGACATCTCCAACTGAACTGCACTGTTTGTGTCTAAATCCAAAGCCAGACACACAAAGCAAAGGGTGAATGAAAAAAAAAGAGCGAGCGAGAGAAAGGGAGGAAAGGAAAATAAGCTCCTGGCTTCCTCCTACCATCAATAATTCCTCATTTCCTCCTCGAAGGCACTGCAAGCACTCCTGAAATTGCATGCTATCGTGTGGGCAACAGGAGAGAGAAAACATCCAAGCCAATCCTGATAGTCTGAGACAAATCTGATCAGCGTTTCCACCACTATCAATGAGGACAACAACAACAGGTTTGTCTATAAAGTACAGCTGAGGGTTTGTGGAGGAAAGGAGGAAAGGAAGAGTGACATGAGGCATTTATCATGCTGTACTTAAACCTTTTTTTTTTTTTTACCCCTGAATCAGATCCCAGGTCTGCATTCAGTTTATGCCAGCTTTTACCCCATCCTTTATGTTTGATGGGAGCCAATAGACAATATTATGTGGATGCTCTAGCAGTGAATACGCCCACCAGTACATTGACAGTGTCCACATATGCTAAATGCTCCAGCTAAGGCCTTTAGAGTTGCTATCAGAACACTGACGAAGCCCTCTCTGAGCTGGTGCAAAACTCTATGGGATCAGGAGGGACACCGGATTAAGTGCCTTCTGTTTTAAGGTTTCTCTTGTGAGTCTTTTGTACTGTATTGCACACGTCAATGAATAAACACAAACAAGGATTTCTAATCTACCGGTCAATATCAACCATCCTAAATGTGTATTTCGTGTTTAAGATTACTGCAGCTTCTATAGAGGATGTTTTCCTTCGTATGAAGAGGTTCAGAAAAGTGGTCATGAAATGTGCATATATTTTATCTAATGCAATCTGCTGAGTTGGTTCATCAAAAGGACCAAATGTGAAAACATGTTTGAAGTAGAGTTTGAGATATTTTTCTTGTATGAGTTAATTCTCTATAATTTAATTTCTTTTTTTGCTCCCCCCCAACCCCCAGCCTAACCCCTACCCAAAACCCCCAATCCAGCTCAGCTAAGTTACAGATACTCAAAGACATGTAGAAAAGACACTAAATTTTTCACTGCATTTGTACTTAGTTTCAATTCCAATAAAACATTACTTCCTTATATAAATGAATAATTGATCTTGGGTTTGATTTACATGCATGGATTAAATGTCATGTTTGAAAAGTTGTTGTTTTATTCATATGAAGATTCCCGGAGAAAAACCTAGAGGCTGCGTGTGGCATATTTTCATATGCCATCTTTTACAGTAATATAACTTCTCATAACCCATTCAGTCTAGAATCTGCTTCATCTTCCCTGCAACTGATGAAACCATGGGAAACAGAAAGAGGAAGAGGGATTTGGAAATACTACGGCAAAAACAAAAAACTAAACATGCAGCATGGAAGGTTCTGTCATATTAGCACAGCTTATTTTATTGTTTGCTTCTATCTGAGGGAATTGTTTGTCTTTAAGATCACATTTCACTAAAAATTTTAGTGAAAGGCTTTATCCATGTCGTTAGAAGTGAGTGTTTTAATTCAGGGTCCCCAAATATCAAAATTGCTTTCAGATAACATGCTTATATTTATTCCATTTTGTTAGTGAAACAGAAAAAAACTCAAATATTCAAAGCAGCTTGTCCATGCATCATATAAATGAAAGGGTTGTTATTTAATAAAATTCAATAAAATTCACAAATCACAGACTGATTTTCCGTGTTGAATGAAAACATTTCAGTGTCTATAAATTCTGCAACTCTAGTTGTGAATGTCAATACAGATATGTTTTTTTTTTTTGAATTATCTATGCTTTGGCACACTGGAGTTATGGCTTATCTTTTTAAGCAATTCATCTAAATTCAGATAAACAGCAAGGTATTTGTGATGTCTTGTGGATTGTATTTTATCTTAAAATACTCTGGGTTTCAAATTGTTACAGTATCATGATTCATGTTTTACAGTTTCTTTTCTCCAACATCTCATCAAAAATTCCTCACCATGAACACGCTCTGGTTGATGTGCAAGTCTGTGTTGTAGAAGTGGCCCCGATGCTCAGTCGGCTCAGTGGACACAGTCCATTGTTTACTGCACCAAGCTAGGGCTGAACCCGCCAGACGGCTGTTCAGGGCCACACTGACAGTGTAGAGGCCCCTGGGTAGTTTGTCTCTGGTGGCTCTTAGGCAGCACACACACACCTCCACAGGCTGGGGAGTTGTGCTCTGGTTCACCTATAACACACAAAGTGCAGAACATGAGATCTCCTTGCAAGATCTTATCAACTTTTTTTCTAGTCCTTATAATAAGACCATAGTTTCAGTTAGCAGGTAAATGTTGCCAATCTGCATTTGCTTATCAACTGCATTGAGCTAGTATTGTCATGCCTATTAGTTGATTGTTGCAATTTACCACATCAACATCAATCATCACACAAAAAGTAAATAGTTCACCTGCCTCTAAGACAAACAAATTGTTGACACACTGGAGCTAACACACTGACAAAACATATGTTATCTAATATACATCCCCCCTGAACCACAACTTCCATCAGGAGTTTACCTATCACTCCCCCCACATTTCCTGCATGGTACGCAGGCCATACCATGAAACATTACTTACTATTAAGAAAGCATGGCCACAGTGTAAGAAGACATTTTTCTGTTGCTGCCATCAGTAGACATACAGTTACTTGGTTCTTCATATTGAACTCGTAACCTCTAAATAATGCCTGGATATCAACTATGTATTTGATGATATAATCCTCCACTTATTTGGAGTCATCTTTTTCACTTCAGGTATCTTTGCTGAACAATGTTTGTGTTTCTTTCCAGATGCATAGTCAAATAGTCTACTATATGTAAGACATGCCCAGTACAGCTGCAGCTTCCATCTACCGATCTTCACTTAACAATTTAGCAGTTAAGTGTGTATCTCAAGGACACAACCAACTAATCTTCAAGTTCAACTCCTAGAAAATACATTTTAAGTGTAATTGGCTGGCTGGATGACTTTCAAAATAAAAGCCTGTTTTGAATGAATGAAGCACTATATGACATGATTGGGATGCATGGCATACGTTCAGTATGGAGATGTCACAAGAACTGATACTTATGTTACCATGTCGATGCCAAAAATTTTGACAGTACATGTTCTACAGTACTGTACCTACTGAGGGTATTGATGTCTTATGTTTGAGTGGTGATTGTCACTTGACAAGAGCTTCAGCCATTGTTGTGTTTACAACACAAGAGGTTATAATATGCCCTCTGATCAGAGCTATGTCTTCAGCGCAGTTTACAGTGAGTCGCTACCTGCCTAGCCTGCTAACTCCAGAAGCAGAAAAGATGTGATAGAGGCAAGAGTTAACATTGGCACTGCTTTTCTCTTATTATTAAAGTTGCATCTCTTAATGCCCATTTATTTTAATGTACTCAAATTTACACTGTGTTGATCAACTCCCAAGGGCACCTTTTAAATGTGCGTGGCAATTAAAGCCCTTGATTCTAATCAATGACAGTACCACTCAGGGGCTACATGTGCTCACAAGCACAAGCACACACGCACTCATAGTGTGTCCAGTGTTTGTTTTACAGTCTACGGTTTAACAGTATTTTTGCACAGTGTTGTCACAGTCTTCACTCCTCTCACACCACACACACACACACACACACACACACACACACACACACACACACACACACACACACACACACACACTTACACACTTACACTCACACTCACACTCACACAAACACATTTACCTAGCAGCAGCAGCTGGTGGTGCCCATTACTCTGCCAGTCTGTGAGGGGGGAAGGTGTGTGCTGAGCCTTGCAGTAATGCCTTCAATCTCCCTACTGTGAGCATCTTGCATGCCAAAACAACTAAAGCATTTTAGGCAAAAGTGAAATTAGTATAACTGGTGGCAAAGCAGTTTAGCCCACACAGCTTACATTTGGGGGGGTGGGGTGGGGTGTGTGTGTGTGTGTGTGGTGTGTGTTGGGGGGGGGGGGGGGGGGAGTAAGAAGAGAAGAAAGCAAGAAAATAAAAAATAATGACATCACACTGGTGTCCAATATACACTATGTATGTCTTTAACGGGTATTGTTATTATCTAGCCCTCATGCTTGCATAGGCATCGTAACAGACAGCAGACAGTCAAGACAGCAAGGCGAAGGTAAAAGGTGGAGTGAGCCAATTTTCCATATCAGAGGTGGTTTGTTTGCCCCAAGCCTGAGTAGTGCCTAAAGTGCCATAACATTACAGTACTCCTACAGATGAGATCAAAGGCTTGAGCAAGGCATCCTCTGTGGTTTTGCTGGCAAGCGGCCGTCCTTTCGTTGAAATATCTTTTCAGGGCTTTCCACACATTGACTGATCACACAAAATGTACTCTTAATAGAGACAGGAAATGCTGCATACAAAAACTTCTTTTCTTTCTAAGTATGGGCTAATATTCAGAGATTAAGCTCTCTCGTTAATTATTTTCATTTTAATTAGTAAATCTTAATTAACAATGAACATTTACCCTTAAAATTTTTTGGCTTCAGAATGAAGGAGGGGGGTGAAGAAAGGAGAGAATAAATATGACAATCTTTTTGGGACCTCCAGGCAGGATTACTGATGCAGGCTGCCTTAGTTATTAAACACATTCTAAATTAAATGCCTCCATGAATTTTGCACAGAAATATATTTTCATAGTTTTGCATGCCAAATGTGACATTTTATATTTCAGATTCATCTCGCTGCAGTAATTTTAGGGAAATGTCAAATAAACAAAGATTTTGTCATTTACCAAAGGAAATTACTATGCGTGGCAGGTTTGGCCATTGGTTTCTCTCTCTCTTTCTCTCTTTCCCTCTCCCTCTTTTGCCCCTTATTCTGCCTGTGCCGGTTGTTTCAAGTCAGCAAGCCATAAAAAATCTTTATCTCAGTGAAACACAGCAATTTGGGAGATAATCGAATGGTGACTGGGGGGCACAAATGCCAGTCTGAGGAATTATACCACAATCTCCCCTGCATTTACAACCTTCCTCAAAGCCAGTTGTCACCCTGGAAGGAAAGCCCCCGACTGAAGATTCATTACATCTTTAAGCCAGCACGGTGGCATGGCAGTCTCTTCCCCAGATGCAACACAACAACACACTCCTCCCACAGCTGGAGATGCTACTGCTAAAGCTCCTGCTTCCTTCTTTCCCACTTGGTTCGTTTTTCTCCTCTCTCTCTGCTCCTGTTTTTCACCTCCAAAGACTCCTCTTTCCTGTTACTTAGATTCATAAAACCACAGACACCTTCCACACAAAGCAGGAAAAAAATATTGAAATATATTGCCTGGTCATGAATGATGGGGCCAGACACAGAACAAAATCCTTTGCTTTTACCTTTATTCCTCAACTGCACTCAATAGACAACAGCATTGATTCTATAATCTTCAGAGTTCAAGATAATCACAGTGATAACACTCATCTTCCACTTTAAAGTACCTAAAAACACTAGTGAAACCAAAAAGGAAGTAGATATATCTTCTATGAACATCCTTTCCTGAAACACTTTGCTTAGCAAAAGCTTAATCTTGACTTTTGACAACAAGTAAGGCTAGGTAAGGTTATATGCATACACAGGCGCTGACAGGTGACAGAGTGGAGACACCAGCCACTGTCCCTGCCTCCAAAGTCTCAAAAGTCAACTTCACGAGTGAGCAAGTGATGAGCTGGTGCAAGCGCATAGGCAGGGTTGAACGAGTGCTCATGACAGCCCCTTGTCATGTAACCCCAATTGTATACAAGGATGCTGTGCGATCGCGGCTACTGTTCTGTGAACAGAGCAGAAACGGTCCTTTGCAAGGAAGGTTTTCTGCTTACTGATCTGTTCTGTGTACTTGTATCACATGAACATGCATGGTTTTTCTGTATGTAAGTTTTGAGACTATTTAAACACTATTGACCTGGCAACCCTTTGACACAAGCATTTTTCAACATTGTGAAGAGGCCTTGCAATTTGGGAAAACACTCAAAAAACCTCCTTTAGTAACTCCAAAATCCGAAAAAGGACCTAAGCTCTTTTACAGTACTCACTTCACTAATTTTATCAGGATCTTGTACCTATGCCTTAGGGCGGAAACCAATGGTGACCAATACTAAATCACTCATTGTAGCCTGCATCAGGTGTTGAAATGTTGTGTGCATATTACACAGCTTGAAGATCATCCTTAGGTACTAATAAAGGCTGTCTCTATCCTCCTCATGTAGTCTATTTTGGTAGGTTTCACTTGTGAGGGCGATTGCTGGGAAGAATTCTGCGCTACTCAGGGCATCCAGAATTTTATCAATGCACGTGGTCCTTGATTTCAGCACTTCTACACATTGGACTTGCACACCAGAATGACTGGTGAAGCATAGGAACTCTCTCTCTTGACAGCTCATTGCGCTGGCACGGAGTGATGTGCGTGTACAAAATTAACATTTTATTATGGAAGTCGGGACAGGATGCGGAAGTTTCTATTTCTGTGAACTTGACGTGTTTGTCTCTACGGTTTTCAGGAGCTTGGCATAATTGCCAATGAGCGCATATGTATCCAGAAGTCAGTACATTAACACACACAAGAAGCCTATATCATGCTGTGTTTGTATTTTTAGCATCTAGCAAGCTACAGAAGGGGAGCAAGCATAAACAGAGTTGCTTTTTTCTTAAGTGGTAGGTAATTTAACATGCTAACGTTTCAAAACGAGCTCAACAAATAGCTGTTTTATGTGCAACCTGGCTATGTCTTGCTAGTTACCGGTGCGGTACGGTAAATCAATTTAGGAATTTTTTTGAGGTGAGTCATTTTTCCCCACTACACTGCTACACCGGATCTTAGGGTTCTCCCACCTCCACCTCCCACTTTAGGTCCCATTCAACACAGGATTTCACATAATTTCATCATTTTACTGTTTTTGAAAAAACAACCCTGCCTTTTTTAAAGATTTGTATACACACCAGGACCAGTATCTTCTACTGTGAATCAACCCTTTTAGAGACTAAGGGATATGTCACTTCCCATTTGTGTGCTTTATTTTTCCTATGAGTGTGTGTTTCTCTGTCCACAGTCACACTACCTAACAGACCTTACCTGCCACATGGGCTGTGATGTTGAAAAGGAGGACTCTGGGAGCTTTGTCATCTGGTCGAATTTGGCCATAGCTTCTTCTTCTTGGCCTTCCCCCAGCATTCTGCGTGACGGGCTTTCGATGGTGCTGCTGCTACGTGCACAAACACACTCACATATACAACACGCACAAATATAGGAAGCTAACCCTGTTAACAGCCACCTGCATTTTGGTCTGTTGTTCCACTCTGTATCAACTCAATCTAATAACACCACAAAAACCCCCACCTGGCCTTCCCACCCCTCTCTCTCTCTCTCTCTCTCTCTCTGCCTTTCAATCTTATCAGTGGTAATGTAATAAACGGTTGCTTCGCTCTGTCTCCTCGCCACCTCTCTTAATTCCTCAAAATAAAGCAATATCACAGGGGCCCTGGCCTGCCTGTGACTGGGGATAAGATGCTTGTAAAAGGAAGGATAATTCAGCAAATAAATGCTCGGCATCAAAGGCAGGCACTGGGTCTTTCTTTCTTTTTTCTCCCTCCTCTCTGTTCGCCTATCAAAAGTATTACATGTGCTTTCATCAGTTCACAACAAGGCACAGTGTGCTTCCTAATGCAATTACTCGACCTCCATTAAATCAGAAACAGTGGAAACAAATGAATTACACATTTGTTACAAAAACCACCAGTCAGCTCCACGTCTCGTCTTTATTTTTTTTTTTCCTTTCATAGGCTTGGGGAGAGAAAAAAGTGAAATCATTTCTCATCCAATTTCAGGCAGATGTAGCCCTAGGTGATGCATAGAAAGTCTCCCATGTCTAATAGCCACCCACCATTGATATCAGAAGGAATTTACAGGGTTCAAGGCTGTCGAGAGGAGGTCATCTTGCCAAACTCCGATCCACATTCATCTGACAAGGCTGGTGTCTGACAACCACCCACCCATAAAACAACCAAACACAGGAGAAGATACTGATGTGTATAGTAGTTTCTTGATTTTATCATGTCATCTTGCATGGTAGTCCATAATTACTAAAAACTTAAACATGCTAAGTGAATTGCCTGTGGGGCTCTCGCTATGTGATGTGATGTGTGATCCTAAAGTGGATGGACCAAGAATTGATGTGCCTCCAAGCCTCCAATGACACGAACAGATTTCTATTCCCCCAAGCCAAACTACCCACAATGCAATTCCTGCTGACAGGAGAAACCATGCAGAGTATATATGAATTACATTCCTTTTTGAACGTCAGTGGGAATACAAATGGTTTTCACACAAGTAGTGATTACAGTCATGTGACATCAATTGTACATATGGAGAGAAATATGAAATGGGCTGGACTTACCACTCAAGCAATGTGTTCAGCCTGGGTTGTGGTGCTTCCTCTCCTGCTGCGTCAGAGTCTTTTTGTGAATAGGGATCCTTTGAAATATTAAAGTGGATATATTAACATACAGAGTTAACGTGTTAACCATCATTAACTTTATCAGCTAATCGACATTTACAATTTACACCACATCAGTCTAAATTATATTGTGAGATATTAATTTCTGTGACTGACTGTATTGACATATTTTTAAGCCAAATTCGTAACCATCAAGAATTTGATGGGTTTCTGTTATGGAATGAAAAAAAAAAAAGATTAATGTGTTAAGCTCATAAAAGACTTATAAACAGTATTTAGTCTCAAAGTTTATGTCCTGAGGGTGGTTAGACCTATAACTAAAAAAACAACACATCCTTCATACAGCACACGTACAATACATGGATCTTTACCTTAACATTACCAGTAAAGAAAGCCATTATTCTCTTCTTTCTCTTTGCCCACTGTCTCCTCTTCCCTGGTCCCTTCAAAGCCGCTCGCTAAAAATACATGTAAATACACATGCAGACTTTCTTTAGAGGCAGCTTTATGAAACAGTGCAGTGCTCCATAATAGCAGAATTGAGCACAAGGAGCAACTGCAATCTGCAGGCAATCTATACTGAGCCAGACCCTAAAGACATGTAGCGTTTGATGAGTATTTCTGCCAGTTTTACATTCAGTCAGCACATTCACTCTCCCCATTCAGACGCACCGACACTGCTAAGTGACAGCGTCTCGCTCTGTAGAGGCTTTGTACAACAGAATAGAGAAAGAAGAAAAACACTATTATTTTTAAAATAGATGTGAAATCTCTGGTGGATAATGTGTTTTCAATGGGAGGTGGGTGTGGAAACAGTAGGAGAGCGCACACATATTGTGACAGAATAAGATAACACTGATCCCAATACTGATACAGTACACAGTAGATGCCACTGATTATCCAGTGAGAGAGAATGAGTCAACTGTTGCTGTGGTTTCCAATTGAGGGTAAGACATTGCTGAACCATTTTTTCCCAATTAAGTTTACTTCCTATTCATATAATTTGATACTCCTACTCTCCTTTCAAGTGAGATTATAACTATAAATACAGTGGATAGAAGTTCTGTATTCTGTGTACACATGCGTTAATGTTTGGGTTTCTCTGCAATCTAGATTTGCCAACACAATGGAACCCCCATCTTCTTGTATCCACTCCCATTTCTTTTTCTGACTGATGGAATACAAACACTTGTTTTGAAAGAAGCTTCATATCTTAATGCTAGTTCGCAAAATCCCTACTCCCCAGCTGGAAAAAAAGGTAGTCACGCTCTATTTTTCCTGAAAAGACCACAAAATTAGTAAAGAATGAAAAAAATTCAGCTTCTGTCAGAAACAAATGCAAAACAAAGTTCAAAGACAGAAGAGAAATGTCTCCACAAATAAATAAATTATGTGAGGATATCCTTAGATCATGGAGTTCTGTATCGAAATCCATGCACTGATTTTTGAGGTGAGGATGAGTGAGTTATATAAACTCTGAAATACCTTGAATGCATGTTGGATGAAAACTAATTTCACAAGAGTGCATTCAGCTGAGATTGCGACCTTGAGTACTGAAAATGAAATGCAGAACTTGTGTCAAGTTAATGGAGGAGAAATAAGGTTAGGGACAAAAAGTAGAGCAAAGAAGCAAATATGGGAGGAAAGAGAAAGAAAATTAGGAAGCCAAGTCAGTAAAACACATAGACACATTGCCTTCTGAACAGACAAAAACAGATAAATGTACACACAGACATGAACGCACTCTAGGTCCATTAGCCAAAGCCAGTGATACACAGCATAATGGACATGGCTGATGTGCTGGTGAGTATGCAATGATGACACAGATATTCCTCTTTGTAGCCCTGACCTGCTGCAGTGAAAGGCTGCCAAGCGTGATCATGTCAGGCTGAACACGCTCCCTCAGCTGCTGGGCGTAGTGGGGGATCACCTCCTCAGCTATCCTCACTGCAAGAAGTAACACAGTGGCATCAAAAATGTTCAAATGTTTATCAAGAATAACTGCAGTATTATACAAAAATGTTTTGTCTATTCACCAACAGACAAAAAATGTTATTAACTTCCTGGAACAATTCCTTAGCTTTAATGATTGATTCTATATTATTTATGCGCAAAGCAAATACATTTCACAGTATCATACGAAATTTAAAAGTGAAATTCAATACTGACAAAACTAACATAATGCCTCTCCACATAATACAAAATCAAATAAAAGGATAGCATTACTTTTTACAGTGCTCTCTCTGCCCATTACCATCCTCCCTGCTTCAAATCCACCTTCTCCTCCCAGCCCAGCACTAGCCTCTTCCTGGGTTTTGGCAATGGTATGGGCCTGGGAGGGCCTGGAGCCCGAGGCATGACCACCACCGTGGAGCAGCAGTCGCTGTTGAAGCACCGGATCACCCGTCTTCACCTCCAACACCTCCTCATCCCTGGAGGCTTGCAACGTACCTGGAGAGATACGCATCAGTGGGCATGCACAGACACACACACAGACACACACATGAATCAGCACACATAAACATCAGAGCATGCATACACATGCTGATGGCTGCATATACTTAGCACATCCAGACACAGCCACACACACACCAATTTGTATATGTATATAAAGACATAAATGCAAGTGGACAAGGTACTCTGAAACAGTAACTCACTCAAACATATGATGTAAACGAAGTATCATAGTTACACTCTTAGGGATTTTTTATAAATCAGATCATGTTTTTAATGTATTCAAACTGAAACAAAACTGTAGTTCTACACGTAGGCACTAATACCATGGATGCTTCCAAACTCGAACACCCATGGAGAATGCCAAGACTCATGTGCTGGAGCGTAACATTGGTGCCAAATTTACATTGATATGATAACCCAAACACTATGGTTGCTTGACTGGATCAGCCATGGAGACAACGCTGTGGTTGTTGTTTCACTGTCAGGCCCCTGCCCCTACTCTAACCACCAATCTGATGCAATCTAGCATTTACCACACTCCACCTGACAGACACACTGCATGAGCACGGTATAGCGTAGTCAAATTAAACACCAATACAGGGCAAGGCTGACTGGAAACTTATTTTGACCAGAGAGATTTTGCCTCTATAAAATGGACAAAAACCACAGCAGCAAAGCTGGACAAAAGAAGGGACGGACAAATCAAGCTAACTGGAAAATAAAATTCCCATGGATAGCCTATAACACAACAAAAAACAAAGTATTCTGTGAAGCTTGCAGGACAGTAAAGACACGAGTCCCCCCCCCCCCCCCCCCCCCCCCCCCCCCCCCCCCCCCCCCCCCCCCCCCCCCCCCCCCCCCCCCCCCCCCCCCCCCCCCCCCCCCCCCCCCCCCCCCCCCCCCCCCCCCCCCCCCCCCCCCCCCCCCCCCCCCCCTCCATCAACAACACATGAAAAATCTGATTCCACGAAAAGTTAACTCTGCATCGAGCTGCAATAAGCATTGCTAATGTGGGTGTAAATGTTGCCGCTTCTATTTCTGCCAGTACGCAAAAACAGATGGCTGATGCCAGAGTAGCTTTGTTGACAATTCTATCCTCTGTCCAATATCTTTTGTGTCAGGGATTGTCCATTCGAGTAAAAACAAATGAGGAGTCCAATTTGACCCAGTTGCGAGCTAAAGATATCCCAGAGTTATAGTCATGGCTGGCTCGTAAGAAGAGCATCATTATCAATTATTTTCCCATGATGTGCTGAGAATGCTGATTGAAGAAATAAAGTGTGCTGAGTTTTTCTCTGTGAGTATGGACGAGACAGCTAACATTACAGTAAAAGAGCAGGTGTCTGTCTGCTTACTTTTTGTGGTGAAAAATCTGGAGCCAGAAGAACTCTTTTTGGATTTTATAAGAAAAAAAAGAACAATACACCCATTAGACTATAGGCCTACATGTTTTGATTTTGGTTGTGCATATGTTGCCCAAAACATGATAGCATGCATCAGAAATTCCCCAAAGCAACTCACTTGGGTCCAAGAGTTTAAATGGCAAAGAATTGCCATCTTTCAAGATCTCTGTGCCAGACACACTAGACTGTGTCAAAGGCCTCTTTACAATCCATTGCTGCAAACTACAACACACTACTGGAATTTCTTGAGGACCTGAGTTTAAAGGACAGAGGTGACACAAGCAATAAAGCTAGTGGTCGGCTTTTGCACCAGCAGGACTTTATCTCTTTTTTCTCATTGAAACTCATGCTGAAATTCTTTTCTTGCATGGACACAGTCAATGTTGCACTCCAAAAGAGCCAGTTGCACCTACAGCTAGACAGATAGTTGACATGCTCAGAGAAGCCATAAAGTACCTTTGTGAAGAAAGATTCCAAGAATTTTGGGAAAACACTACTTCAGCAGCACAACCCATGGAGAGCCGATGTGCCAAGACCAAGAAAAATGCCCCATTGATTGGAAGATGGAGGTGTGTTGCCACACAGCTTTCAAACACCAGGCACAATAGCAGTATTTTGTTATCACGGAGAAAGCATCAGAATCCCTGGATTACAGATTTATTCCTTCTGCATTCAAACACATGCAAGATGGTGAGGATTGTATGACTGAAAAGGGCGACTGCAAAAATATCATGCAGACTCACTGCATTATGTGTATGGATGTAGCAAAAGTGATGAAGAGTTTGTCTAACTATTCTTTCAAGATGTAGTGGACTTCCTGAGAGGTGATCAGGGAGAGCACTTGAGGACCATGTGCCAGAGATCACCAAACTAGTGAAATTTGCATTTAACATGTAAAATTTGCGTGTAACATCCTGAAGTTCAGAAAGGTAATTTTAAGATCTCTGGTCCACAATGGGACAGGCAAGACTGAACCATGCTGCTGTATTGAACTGTCACAAGAATATATCACGAAATAGGAACCTGGATGTAATCGCAGATGAATACATCAAGCACACAGCTACAAGGGCACTTTCCCTGTAAAGAAGTAACGTCAATGGCGAGTGAAAAAAAAAGAAAAAGAATATGTAGCCATATGGGCTATGTGGGCCCTATGTGTTGGTGTTGATGGTTAATTGACTGTATTTTACAGTGTGGGTTGGTATGCTTTCTTTCAGTGTGTAACAACATTGCCTATTATAACTTGTTAGGCTTGGATTGTGCACTTGGTCTATGATTTTTGTTCATGTGTGCCTCTTTACTGAATACTTGTGGTGGTAGTGATTATTACTTTCCTTGCGTTTCATGTTGTGTATCGTTAGTTAAATTTTTGTTCTCCAATCACTCTGTGTGTGTGTATGTTATTGGTTGTCGCTATTAATTTCCTATGGTGCTGAAATGTGTTCATTTGACTACCTTTTCTGTATAGCACCAAGGCATGCAGGCTATGGTTTGAGTTTATCTTGGGCATGGGGATGGGTCACCTAACACAGAAACATAAATTGGTACCTATTGTTCTACATGCTAATGAGAGAATGACCCCATTAGCCTCCTTTGCTTTTTTTGCTAATAAAGTTAAGAGCAGATGTAGATCAGGGTACAGGTTGAACTGATGCTGCAGAAATGTAGATATCTAATCCATGCAAGGAATCACAGGAAGATGTAGCAGCCTTTCTTTTTGCATATTACTATCTAAGATACAACCTGTCTCCTAGAAATTAAATTTTTATACAACTAAACTGCAACAACAAAAACATGTTGTAGAAACATAGTCACTGTCTATATTATATTTAGAGGAAACATATTTTTTGAATGACTGAAGCACTACAGTGCACTAATGGTTGTTGTGGATAGAATACAAGGCGCATGGCTGAGACTGGGGTTTGCATCCCGGGTCCTGTCTGTCAGTAGGTTTAGGAAATAAAAGCACTCCAGATTAGGATGAGGAAACCCCACCACATTTTTCCTCTAATATTAAACAAGTGCTGTGGGTGCCTGAACATAGCCATAAAGAAGTTTAACTAGAAGGGCACTCAGAGACTGCAGACCTCTGCCAAGGCCAATGAGAAACAACATACACCAGACTTCAGAGAGAAAAAAAATCAAATTCATAGTAAATGATCTGGATTTTAATGAGTTCTTCCCTAGCCCATGGCTCCACCAAGTTCAGTGCAAATCGGTTCAGTTCCTTTTGCATAATCCTGCTGACAAATAAACGGACATGGGTGAAAACATAACGACCTTGGTGGAGGTAATAATGCTGTTTACAAATGGATCTTGTACTGCAAGATATTCTGACCGATTACAAATACAATGTCTGTATACATTTTACTGTTCAATAATATATGCAACTTGCCAAGTATCAAAATTGACCACGTTTCTTGCCGTAATGTAAAACAGAATCCACTTGCAATTACATTTCTGACAAAAGGTATTTGCTGTTGCAGTTTAGTTGTATAGAAATTAATTATTTCAGGAGACAGAGTTGGATGAACAAAGTGTTTTAAATGGTCGCTGCTATTTTAGTAAAAAATGTTAGAATATTTTATTTTCTTCACACAAGACAGTTCAGTTTTTACTCTTCAACCCAAGTTTCCATCTGCACAGTATGTGAACTAGTTTCTTGTTAGTAACCTAGTATTTGTTCCTGAAAGCAGAGAAGCATTATCAACTGTAGCTAACATGCTTGCTGTGTGTCTTAACAGTTTTAACAGAAAGCATTTAGGTATTCTTTGAGCATCTGTGTATTCATCGTGTGCAGTCCAGTATGTGTAACAGCCAGAGCTGTTATCACTGCCTAATGCTTTTCACATATAAGATGATATCAGTGCCTAACGCCTTACAAAGAATGAAAATGAAGAGAATACCAGTTCTGTGGTCTTTCATCTCCAAGCCAAAGCAATAGAATGCGTCGAGATAAAAAGGAGGAGTTGAAGATCTTAGACTGACAGACAAGGGATTTCTCCAGGATTTTCTTTAAGAAAAAAATGTCTACATCACTGGCCACTGTCCATTTCATTAATATGTTGTCTTATTCATGCTCTCTTCTTGTGAAATGTGTATGGTGCTTTGTGGCAGGCTGTAAAAACAAAGACAAAAGCATGAGAAGCAGTCAAAAAATGTCAGGATCAATACTGACATATACTGAGCTCGTTCTACAGCTGCAAAGAAGACTTGCAGCCTACACCAGTGGGAGGCATCCATACAACAGCACAAGGTGATTGTCTTGAATTCTGTTGTAGCTTGGTGAAGCACTAACTGGCAGTCATCACAGTTGGACTCCAACATTACAGAAGTAAGAGCTCTCTCTCTCTCGTTCCTTCCCTGTCTCTCAGCCTATTGCATGGAAGAACAGTTAATCCAAGAGCCTCTTTACTTTTTCTGTGGGATTTCATGAACATTCAAAGACAATGGATGGGGTTGCTAATCTCAGTGGTACAGCTAAATCCAAGACAATGGCAAATAATACGAGTCGGCTAAATTCCACCATGTTGAAGCGGGCCTAAACCCATCACTTGTGCACTGGAATTACAAGGGAAATGTGCGTCATGTCAACAGGATCTGGTGCAACTGTCTTCACCCAGAACAATGCTAATCTTAAACCACCTCAATGTTGCCTGGTTGGCGACATATTTAAATGAAACTGAGCTAATGAGAAAAGGCACGCCTACTGTGAGACAATAGTTGTGCTTGGAAAGCCCTGACTACTGACTGCGAGGGTTCGTTTCTAGTCTCATTCTTTGTTCCATGTTAGTGCGGCTTTCGGTGAAAATGTAGCATCGTATCTTTGTTTGGGTTGTATATTATTTCACTGTCTTGAGCTTTTCTTAAAGACACTGTACCTAAAGACTTGCAGTCCTCAGTGGCACTGTTGTTATTACTGTGCTAACTGGTTCAAGTTTGGTAACTTTGGTAATTTAGTTGATGTTGATGTTAAAAGATAACGTTTTTATTGATACATCACTGTGTGAATTAAAAGACAAAAGTGGTTCTGAAGTGTGATAATAAAATGAACAGAAATGTTACTTCAAATCATATAATTTTTTTTACCATATGTAAACACATGGTCTTGACAGGAAAATAAAGTTAGGGCATATCAATAGAATGGTGATCACATGGGATTAAATGCACTTTATATGTCTCAAATTTTAATTACTCTAAATTAAAGTTCTGTAATGTAATGGTAAAGTAACTGTACTTCATTAAAGCTGTAAAATACCTATCTATGCTATTTACATTAGAGCCAACAAACAAACTGCTTCCAAAATAATAAGATACAGTAGTGCATTAATATGAGAATACATACCAGGCACATCTATGGAGGTGTTGTCCTCATCCAGCAGTGTTGCCATTTTTTGATACAGTCTGTTTTCATCTGCATTTAATATTGCTACAGATTAAAACAATTATAAAATGCATACACCTTCATTGGTGCTGGAAAATTACATGCATTTGTGTGCTTCAGAATTACTTCCTACTTATCATACAAGTCAATCTAAACCACATCTTAACATACAAACCAGACATATTAGTCTTGGCTGGAGAGGGGTGAAAATCAAGTGTATGCAGAGAAGTAATGAAATAGGAGCATTAAAATGCCTGTTAGATGGCCTGTCATCATGTGATGAGATTTGGTTTGGCGAATCCTTTGATATTACATGGCAATGATATCCAAAAGATACAGGTGAAATGGCTTCTCCATTAACAGCCATGTTTCATTATAACATGCATATTACTTGGCTCCCAAGAGCTCATTTTTTTATAGCCCTACATTTGGATGGGGCTGCAAACTATTGATATGGCTCTATGGTATCACTTGACAGGGGAGAAGATATGCCATGGTGAAATAAAAACTGACCAATGATACGTAACCTTCGACAATGACAAGCAAGTTGGGTAGCCAATCTAGTGATGCCATCATCACTAGACTTGGTGTATTTACACAGACTGTCCTGCTGTCTCAAATGGTCTGCTACCAGTGATCTCTCTCACCTCACTTTAATGAACCGAGGAGAACTATTATGACAGAGAATGGCATACTTAATTCCAGCTCATCTTCGGTGCTGACCCCAGCCATCCTGCAATGTCTTGGGTCTGTCTGCTGTGCCGGTGACGGGTCAAAGTAATTTTGGGCACGTTCATCTCCTGTGTAAAGTGCGACAGGAGAGAGAATGAGAGGAACAGGGGTTGGGAGTAGGTGGGGGTGGGGTGGGGAAAGGAAGAGGGGAGTTGTACAGGTTCAGGTTAGTGGTTATTAGAAGCACATGAAGCAAAATGTTAATTTTGAAACCCACTCTGTCGAAGGGCAGGGGCAGCGGCTGCTACCAGATAAGGCAGAGCTAAGATGAGACAGGAGTACAGAGGCAGAGAGAGAGAACTGGGAAAGAGACTGCTGGGTTTCTCAGTACGCCTCTCCATGGCCTGCGGTGCTCTGGGGCCTAATTAGCATGCTGCAAAAGGTCACGGCAGGCAGTCTCTTAAATACGATCGCCATATGTTTGCCGTGTTCAAAAGGAACTAATGAGAAAGTCTACGAGCTCAAAAGTACCTGGAATTTCAAAGACAATACCTTCTAAATACTCTAAGGTCAGTGGCCTGGAGGACTGGGCAAGTTTGGAGGAGCTGATCCAAAGGAAAATAACCTGAGCCCATGTCTCATTGACTTCTTATTAGCAATCACTGACCTATGGGTATCAAGTCTGCTCCACAGAGTTTATGGGAATCCAATGGCTCCAGGGCCACCAAGCAGCTTTCTTAACCCCAAATCATACTCATTACAGGCCTTGAATATTTCACTCCAATCTAAATTGCTTTACTTGTATTTCTCAGGTTGTGGGGCAAAAAAATGCATGGTGCATTAAATCATGTTATATATTCCACACAAGGATTGCCTTTATAGATGTCTGAGGGTATTGGTGCTTGGATGCATGAAAATGCAAGTAAGTGTGTTTGCATAGGATCACCCCTGGTCCACTAGGCCACTACCCAAAAAAACTCACTGTGATTCTTTCGTGCTCACATGAAATATCTCCATGAGGTTTTCACACTCTGTCCTTACTTTAAGTCAGACTGAAATCCTTATTAAACAAGGAGCAGCCGTATGACTCCTCAATGGCACCATAAATTGACTGTGAAATTCACGTTAAATCCCTCTACATCGTTAACAGAGAGTTTGAACAATTTCTGCGCAAATAGCTCTGAGGTTATGAAACCCTTTTTTCAAACACAAATTTGCATAATGGTGGTAGCTTCGTGGATCGCCTTTTGAATCATATCTGTGATTTACCTAAATAGTCTGGCTATCCTCCAGTTCATCTCTCTAATGAAAATATAAATTCTCTGTTCTTACATGAACAATATCAATAAAAGCACTTCTTGCCGGTCAGAGTTGGTCTTAGTAGAGAATGAGAGATATGAAAGATTTTGGTAAAGGGCAAATAGAAGTGTCAAAAACAGGAACCATTGTTGTGATCTGCTAATAAAGGCACACAAGTTACATAGTGCCTATTCACACCGCACAATAAAAAAAGTGTTTTTTGTGGGGCCAATTTTGCTTCTTGTGATTTATAGTTTGTTTATGTACATATCATATTTGCACAATTACCACAAAGAAATGAAGTTATAAACCTATAAAACACAGTGTGTGATAAATGTATACAATACTCTTCGAGATATGCATGTGATGAGAAGCTGCAACTCTACTTGAGACAGCCCTGTCAATAGTACATAAGTAATAGAGTATGGCATCTGGCTTGATTTTCATTTCTAGTCAATAGAACAAAAGAGAAAAAAATAAAATCAGCAATTTATCTCACCTAATCTCAAATATATGACAATATATGTTCAAAATAGTGGATAAATGTACCTGATGTTGAAAAAAGCTTTTCACTGACTTGGAAATGGAAAGAGGAGGGACGGAAAGAGGAAAGAGGAAGCTGACAATGCATCACTTATAGACAGTCAATGTAAAGGAGTGAGCAAGATAGTGTCTGATCCCCTTGTCCAGCTCCAGTATTAGTCTCAGTTATCTATAGTTTAACAATAGAAAGTTACAACATCTCTCTAAACTCCTCAAACCAGACAGCCAGACAGCGCAGACCACTGTCTCTTATGTTTGCAACTTGACATTTGCTATGTACTGGTCAGCGTTTTCAACACCAAATTAAATATAAGGGTGAAAAGCACAAAAAAGCAAAGATGATGGCTTCTGCAGGGGTTGATTACCATGCTAAACTGAGTTTAGAATGATAATTTTCAGCCAGTTAGAGTTTTATTGATTACTTGTTCAGATTTAACATTATTTGTCCACATCATGTGAGTTTATGGTGCGTCATTTTTGTTCATATGTTAGCCAGTTCCACACACCAAGTGTAACCCTACCTTTTGTGCATGGAAATAGCTGATAATAATTACTCGCCATGCACAGCAAAAGCAAAATAAACCACATTAAAACAAGCATCTAACATGTGACTCATCCCTGAGAAAACTGGCATGCTTGCAGCCTTGAACACATCCTTTACCATTTACCATCCCATTCCTCAAGAGTTCTCCCTGACATACTGAATTATAAGGGGGCATATTGGTGTGCCTGATTGGCCTTAAGCTGTGTTTTGGGGGCGTTCTGAGTACACCACACAGACAGCGGATCGGCTTGGTAGCATAGTAGCATATGTAAATGCACTCTCCTATGACTCCAGCCCACCACAAGGCATGTAGCCGAGAGTGGGTGTTAAGGCTGATTGTGTCGAGGGTACTTCAAGATAGAGAAAGAACACCCACTACTGAAGCGTTCTCCAGCAGAGGAAGAAGTTATACGAGGGTTGCTTGTTAGGACACGCTTGCTTTGGAATGCAGGAACCAAGGGCCTCTTGAATGGAGAGAGAGAACGAACGAGAGAGTGAGAGAAAGGTTAGATCAGGAACATATCTACTGTCAACAAATTTGAGGCTAATGAAGAATGAAGCTTCACCTCTTTCTTTGGCAGGGGCTTGCAGCTCCATTTTTTTTTGGTGAGCTGCAAGGGTGCTATCTGGCCTGTCACCTCGAATTTCTCTCCCCAGCCAAACTGGAGGAACGGAAAGCTTGGCACTTCTTTCTCCATCGAAGGCTGGGTTTTCTATGCCCACCACTGCAGCTCTCTCTTCTTTCCCTGACAAATAAGTAGAAACATGAAAAAAAAATACAAACAGTGACATGATGAGGCTATACAACAGTTGGGTCAATGTGACTTGTAAAAAAAAGGAGAAAAAAAGGCATATAATATAATAATAGCAACAAATTTTTTGTGATTTCTGTGCCCTAAAATGTTCAAGCGCATCCCCCTCAAATGACACTAAAACACATTTAGGTTAAAATTAAATCAGAATCTTGCAGGAGAAGAAAAAAAGAGAAGAAGAAGAAGAAATGATTAAAATAATTACAAATTGCGCCCTGACAAGCAAGAGCAAAATTTAGCCCAAAGCCATTTGTCTGTAATTAGTTAATTAATCCTTACACAAATTATGAGCAATAACTCATCAAGCAGGACTCACCCATCAGAAATTCAGCCGACTTGGATTTCTTCTGCTTAGGTTGCTGCAAAGCCTTCTGCTGTAACTTCTGGAGGGAAATTGTTAAATGAATAAATTAGCTGCAGAATGAAGATCATCATTTATGATCCGCAACTAACACAGTATTTTAAATATGGGATGACACTGAAATGTCATTTAATTTACATCGCTGCTAAAGGGGTCAAGCACTAATTGAACAACAGGAGTGGAAAAAAATTTAATCATAAATAGATAAGAAAAGTTGACATGAATGTGTAATGAAGGTCACATTAAAATACTTCCTCCTTGTTTTTAAAATGAATGGGCACCAACACTCTCTCCTGGAAAATTATGCATTTTTACACCGGCTGCATTAGAGTACACCGACATGGTATTCAAATAAATATGTAAATCCAGAAACACTCCTCATTACTTTCATTCACATGAACTCAACCTAAAAAGTCTCAAAGGAGAGAAAAATAGTCTTTAAATAACATCATGCCAGGTCCCGTGCATTTAGTAAAGCTTGGAGAATTTTCACTTAAGATTATATATATAGGCTATATATATGTTGTTGTATATTGTCCTACACTAGTACAGTATATATAATAGTGTTGTAGGTGGTCTACACTAGCATGAAATGGAAAGAAAATGAAGAAGGGATGGATGAAAGCAAGTATGTGTTTCTTTGAAATCAACAGTATGTGGAACAAACTCTGCAGTCCCACATTTCTCTCATTTCTGCGGACAAGCAGAACAATAAGAAAGCTGATAAAAAAAAGGCATAAGTAGTTGTTTTCGTTATGGATATGTTTACATAAGAATGCACCATATAAAAGAGCTCTGTAGCTCAAAGCGTATGGAGCTTTTTAAGCATCATTTTATGCAGATTTCAATGATGAACTGTGCTCATGCCCATGAACATCATGTATTTGTATACAATATTTAATTTCAAAGACAAAATCAAGGCACAGAATGGGTGGGGAGAGTATTTCAACTCTAAATGACAGAGCAATTAAAAAGAGGAGGACTACATCCAGACCAATCTGGTATGAGGAGTTTTTGTAAATCTGTTTTTACATTCAACAAGCCCTACAGCAAGACATTCATTTATACCACTGAGATTAATGCTTATCTAATTGTAACTTATTTAAAAACCATTTTCTTTTCAACTGGGTACCAATCAGTTTTTCTGAATTTCACTCATACTGTGGAGTATGAGACTGGCAAATGCTGCATCAGTGGGGATTGTTGCTGTGTGCTTTTTTTTACTATTTTTATTTCATCTTTACACACCTTCCTGTAAGACAAATATTGTTTTGCATACAGTATGCAAATTGAGAATCTCTCTGGCACAAATATGGGGAAATTAGTCAGGTTACTTTACTAATAAGAAAATTGTGCACAATCACCATTTGTTTTGTATTATACCAGGAAACTTAAATAATATTGTGTTGTAAACTAAAGCAGTTATTTAAATACGCTGCATGACATTTGCATTCATTATATGGTATTAAAATTTTGATTGTTATTGGAACATCACAGTCAGTTCTGAACCTCAATGAAGACATTTGAAATAACGTCCCTCAACAGTAAATAGTTTAATTAAGTTTTATCTCAGGCTAAACAAATGTATTTAGTTTATCACCTGAATAGCTGCACAGAATCATCTAGAATGTGTAGCTGCCTGTAATACATACATGTAATGCAGACAGTTACATGTAACATCAGTCAAAATTTTAAGAATATTACCTAAGATTATTTTCCTTAAAATTTTTCTATAGTCATTTCCCTTGTTACATTTTTAAATTAGTTTATGTCAGTTCTGCTCTGGGCACTATTTTTGTTTTTGTCTCATTTCTGACAGTGACAATTTCTGGCAGTATGCAAAGTGAATTAGCTCCATGTCCTGCAAATGTCAATAAGTCCTCTGATTACTGTGAATGTAATTTTTGCCTTAAGTTCAGTGAAAAAAAAGCTTAGTAAACACACCAGGGAAAGTACACAGAAGGAATACAGTAGCTTCATACACCCCAGGCCTAATGCTTTGGGTCATTGTCACTAAAATCTAATCCACACAGCACATGTGAGCCTTTCTGTCTAGAGAGCTAAGAAAAATGCCAAGTTCTCATCTCTTTCCCTAGACCCCACTGACATTGACAGCATGCTCCTTGTAATAAAAGGACTGTTGTTTAATGTGCCATAACTGGATGGAACAGCAGATGTTGCATTTCTAAAACGATAAACAACAATTCAATCCTGAGGGAAGAAAGGTATCATAGAGGTTTCTGAAATAAGCTGAATTTGAGCTTAAAGAAATGGCCATTTAATAACTAAGAACTATGATAGCAGAAATGTAAACTGGCTCAGCGCAGGCTGAGATTTCGTAAAAAATGTGCCTGTCACATTGTCATGTTACATTTTTTGTGCCGCATCAAAATCACCTGCCAAGAAATTTGTGTATATTACAACATACATATAAAGTATCATAACGGAATAGCCTCTGAGTTTATTCTCTTGTCATTTGAAGGCATCTACACATAGTACTTCTTCACTATGTGAACATGAGAAAAAAATAATTTATAACTGGTGACAAAAAAATCCATGGATTTTTTTTCTTTCTTTCTTTTTTAAATGTGATTGTTGTCAAAAGGAATTGAACACAACAATTCCTTGTTCAGTTCTTGCTGCATTCACAGGCATAGCTAGAAGGGCTTGGGGAAGACCGCTTGCTGCTAGGGGCTGGTGGGCACAGACAAGCTAGAAAGTGAATTTTGCATACTGTACGGATCATCGCCCAGTTCAGCCCAGTCACATTGAATCTGCCATCAACCAATTGTGCTTCATGAAACCGTCAACCCTCATTTACGTCTGCCTGTTTTCTTCCCCACTCTGCTGTAAACAAGGCCCTAGCTTTGAGCTGTCTTCCTCTGTCCCTGTGAGCACGATTTGCCAGGGGAGTGCAGACAACCTCGTCTTTAGAGAGCTACTTCAAGCTACCATTTCCAGACAAGCACCCTCTGCACCAGGCAAAGGAGTCAAGGACAAGAATGCTTCTGGAAATGACAAGAGTCTTAAGAGATTCACATAGTGATCACTGCACATGTTTTGTCTCTTCCTTTAGTTCTAATTTGTACTTGAAAATTCCTTATATCAGGTTTGTGTTTTTGTCTCTGTCTCTGGTGTGGTACTTATAGTGGCAAATTTCAATGTGAGTGAATGTATACACATATTGACAGCCTAATAAAATCATGTCTTAATATAAATGAATATACATCTTAATGGGTTGTGATGAAATCATAAAAGACATGATAAAGATGAGAGTGAATGCCTTGCTAAATCAATAAAAACATAAAAGTTGATTTTGTTTTCATGTTTATAAAGTCTCCTTTTATCTATCAAAATAATTAAAATGGCCATTTCAATAAAATGTCATAAAAATAATGAAAACATCTACAAAGCATCTTTATTTAAATTATGAAAGATAAGGTTAGCATTTCATTTCAAAGGCATACAAAGCCCAGTTCTACCCTTAAAATGTGAAACCATCTTAATTTATAGAGCAGCCTTATACGTGCACAGTAATTTTGACCCAACAGTTTCTTATTAAACAACGACCGCGTCAGTTGGTGTAGACAGAAAACATAATTAGTATTCAAGCTTAATTAATCTACGCTGGCCCCCTTTAAGTGAATTAGTCAATTATTTATGCATGTGTGCTCCTTTGATGCTAACAGATTATGTATGTTACTGGGAAAAACCTTGAAAAATGACTTTGAAAACTTTCCACCATAAAATGTCACTACAAGCTTCTGCACTGACTAAGAAATGTCTGTGAAGACCATGAATAATTATGAAAAAAAACCTTAATGGACTAAACTGCCAAACTTCTACAAATTTTTATTATTGCGAAATCACCATACCAAATGTTTTAGCGCCAGTCAAGTAAAACATTGCAATTATCTGTCCAAAATCCAGTGCAAAAGACAAAATAAATCAGCCAAATATGTACTTTTTTTTGCCCTAATGCACGGAATGGAAATCTAACACAGGTCGGATCAAGGTCTTTCCTGGGATCATGGGAACTCCTTGGGATTTTCAAGAGCCTTTTTGTTTTTACCCTTGAGAACCAGGCACTGGCCTCTGCACCCCTCAATCCCCAATTGAGAACCCAGAGGCAGCGCAGAGGAATGCTAAATGTCAATGGTCAGACTGCACCGGCACCTTCAGAGTGAGAGAGAGAGAAATGGAGGTATATGGCCTGACCTCCTTGTGCTCAGCTACACTGATATGTAGGGCCAGAAGTGAAATTGTACTCACACTGCCAAAGGTGTCCATCTCTGCAAACTGCAAAAGATCATCACTGGATGACCGTGATCTCTGAACAATGGCAAGACTGCAAAACATAATGTGTGAAAATATGTAAGAAGTCTGTCAAAACAAGATAAACCTGTATTGCTTCCAAGAATCTGAAATGCACAAGTAGAATATGCCATTGACTTAATCTACAATTTTAAACATGTCTTATAATTCAAAGTTTGTTGATGTAATTAGAACTAAAATTTGCAAAAGAGCTCTTTTAATAGCTTAGTGTGCAGCACAAAATCCTTAATTCCAAGCAGTGTTATGTTATCTCCCTCCTGCTTGTGTGTTTAAAACTGTTATCTCTGCAATGCATCTCAGAGTATAAAGGACAATAAACACCATTTATTATCACAGATAAATTATTTGCCCTTATCACTGAAATAGTTTATTCATTTATATCTGATACAATATCATTTGGTTTTTTATCATCTTTTCCTATGGTAATTCACATGGCTTGCACAAGTTTCTGCTGAAATCGCAAAACAAACCCCAGGCAAAATGTGAAAGATTATCCCATACCATGCAAGCTAGGATGAAATGCTATACTTTTTCACACTGAACACTGCTCCACTGGGTGTGATTGAAAAACATGTAAAGCTATTGAATCTGTGGTTTGTCTATGTGCGGGAAAATGAGTGTTGTAACAAGTGGGCCAATGTTTTTGTAATTGTTTCAAATTACACTTGGTGTAATAACTCAGTGAAAGTAGAGCCAGTGTGCGGTCCATACACATTAACTAGGCAAAGACCACAGGATATCCATGCACCTTATCATGGCCCACAAAAAAAAAAAAAATTCTTTAGCGATAATTCCAGCTGTGTCTATTTGTGTCCAATGGTGCTTATCATCAACTACACAAAAGAAGGATAATACTTTTAGATAAAGAGGTACTTTGCAGCACTTCCTTTACATGTGTATTTTATTGAATTAAAGACACCCTAACATTCCTGTTTTTAATTTGCTGAACTGTTTTTCTGGGTTACTAATAGAGATGTGTGTGTGTGTGTGTGTGTGTGTGTGTGCGT